CATCCGCTCTAAGAATTAACTCAGGAATAATTATAGATAGCTCAAAAACATTTGTATTTTATTTATTTATTTAATTATTTTTATTTTTAATCCGTCAACATCTCTCTCTCATTTATCAATTCAATAGGTCACAAAAACAGTTTCATCTTTAACCAACAGCCGATGTAACAACTAGAAGATTCCATTCGTGTTCAAATCTCTCCTCTTTGTTCCTTCGTCTGTGTCAGAAGCATATGCTCCCTACGTCACTCTAGTGTCGTAAAATCACACGCGTTGTAGTTCAGTAAAATCCAACGTGTTGTAGTCTAGTGCCGTAAAATCAAACGCATGCGCAGTACATTCATCACCACGATTTCACCGTGGACGGCAGCTTCTCAGCTGTCTCCCCAACCCAAACAGACAGTTAACAGTCCTGCTGTAACTCCGTTTTCCCCTCATAGTCAAACAACATTTAACAGCGCTCACAAAGCATAGAACCTGAATTCCACACACACAAACATAATTTAAGAGGCTTTATTCCATCGCAGTGGACCTCTAAGGTCACATGTTAGCATGCAGCATATTAGCATTTAGCATTAGCATTTAGCATTAGCCTGTATGCAACATGTGGCATGAAAACAATGTACCCGACATTGCGCCTTAAATTATTTTTCCTTGTTCCTAACTTTAGGCTGCCGTGAGTTCTGGATATTTTATGAGAGGTCCCCCCAAGCAGATACCCCGTCGGATAGAAGATGAGCAGCAACTTACAATAAATCTATAACCAAACTCCAGTCCTAGACTGACCTGAAAACACCTAACGCGTTACCAGGATTTATGGCCCACCCGTCTGGGGTCGCCTCGTTCCGAGGGCTTATCAAATCCACAATGTCCTAACTTGTATACATATCTTGGCCTTATTCACTTCCATCGATTGTTCTTGACTTTCCTATTCAAGCAACATATGTCTATAGCCAATCTATAGGCTCTACCCCCTTTTGCGCTGTTTACCAGTGCACAAAATGTATAATGATTACCAAGACCCCCAGTTCTCAGCAATAAAGCCACACATTGGTCCTAACGGTACCTCTCTCCAGTGCACACTCAAATAGCATCCAAACTAACAAACTCCCAAAGCGGTGAGAAAAAAACTCACCCTTATCTGGCCATGACTTCAGAACGAGTTAGCTTGGCGCTTGAATGGAACAAAGAAGAGATGCAGACCCTCCCTTTTCGTGACGCCATTTGTAGTATCGGGTCAATGCTGGCAATTATTGCTGATAAACAAAGGAGTCCGCTCATACTGAACCTTTGATCATAAGTTTTATTCATATCACAAGATTTCAGCATGAGGTTACAGGTGTCAAGATCACCCGGAGAACAATGGCCGCTCTAACCTCTTCGTCGTTTTTACCCAGTATATATAATCTTCCCAAGATATGGGTGGCTCCCTCTACTGTCCAATCCCCTGTCTACAACACACAGACTTCTCTGTCCTATCCGGGGTGTCACACTAAAACCATTCCCTCTGACACTAAAATAAACGTCCTCTCCGGTTCCACTTAAAAACATTAACAACGTCATAATCTTAATACACTACACTGGCTTGCATAGCACAGTGGTGGTTGCCTAAATTCACTGTAGTAGGCTAGGCCTCCTTCACTATTTCCACATTTTGTTACGTTAAAGCCTTATTCTAAAATTGATTAAATAGTTTTTTTCCCCTCATCAATCTACACACAATATCCCATAATGACAAAGCAAAACAGGTTTTTAGACATTTTAACAACTTTATTAAACATTTAAAAAAACGGAAATATCACATTTACATAAGTATTCAGACTCTTTACTCAGTCCTTTTTTGAAGCACCTTTGGCAGCGATTACAGCCTCGAGTCTTCTTGGGTATGACACTACAAGCTTGGTACACCTGTATTTGGGGAGTTTCTTCCATTCTTCTCTGCAGATCCTCTCAAGCTCTGTCAGGTTTGAAGGGGAGTGTCGCTGCACAGCTATTTTCAGGTCTCTCCAGAGGTCTTCGATTGGGTTCATGTCCGGGCTCTGGCTGGGCCACTCAAGGACATTCAGAGACTTGTCCCGATGCCACTCCTGCGTTGTCTTAGCTGTGTGCTTAGGGTCGTTGTCTTGATGGAAGGTGAACCTTCGCCCCAGTTTGAGGTCCTGAGCACTCTGGAGCAGGTTTTCATCATGGATCGCTCTGTACTTTGCTCCGTTTATCTTTCCCTCGATCCTGACTAGTCTCCCATTCCCTGCCGCTGAAAAACATCCCCACAGCATGATGCTCCAGACGTGACACTTAGCTTTCAGGCCAAATAGTTTAATAATGGTTTCATTAGACCAGAGAATCTTGTTTCTCATGGTCTGAGAGTCTTTAGGTGCCTTTTGGAAAACTCCAAGCGGGCTGTCATGTGGCTTTTACTGAGGAGTGGCTTCCGTCTGGCCACTCTACCATAAAGGCCTGATTGGTGGAGTGCTGCAGAGATGGTTGTCCCTCTGGAAGGTTCTCCCATCTCCACAGAGGAACTCTAGACCTCTGTCACCCATCGGGTTCTTGGTCACCTCCCTGACCAAGGGCCCTTCTCCCCCGATTGCTCAGTTTGGCCGGGCGGGCAGCTCTAAGAAGTCTTGGTGGTTCCAGACTTCTTCCATTTAAGAATGATGGAAGCCACTGTGTTCTTGGGGACCTTCAATGCTGCAGAATATTTTGGGAACCCTTCCCCAGATCTGTGCCTCGACACAATCCTGTCTCGGAGCTCTACGGACAATTCCTTCGACCTCATCGCTTGGTTTTTGCTCTGACATGCACTGTCAACTGTGGGACCTTATATAGACAGGTGTGTGCCTTTCCAAATCATGTCCAATCAATTGAATTGACCACAGGTGGACTCCAATCAAGTTGTAGAAACATCTTAAGGATGATCAATGGAAACAGGATGCACCTGAGCTCAATTACGAGTCTCATAGCAAAGGGTCTGAATACTTATTCAGGGTTTTCTGTTTTTAATTTTTAATACATTTGCACAACAAAATACAAACCTGTTTTCTCTTTGTCATTATGGGGTACTGTGTGTAGATTGCTGAGGAAAATGTTTTATTTAATCAATTTTAGAATAAGGCTGTAACATAACAAAATGTGGAAAAAGTCAAGGGGTCTGAATACTTTCCGAAGGCACTGTAGGCTAGCATACAAATGGTGAATTAAATTGCCCAGCCAATTAATTAACTTTTAATTTACACATCTGTCTTCACTGTTCCCTTGCGCAATTCATGCATCTCCACTGGCCTCTCTCTCGTCCATCCTCTCTCTATAGTAGCCTAGCTTCAATGCTTGTCACTTATTCTGAGCAATTAAAAAATATATATATTTGAGGAAAAAAAGCACAAAACATTGCCTACATCTTTCACACTGTGAACTAGCGGGGAAGTTTGAATGGCGAGAGCTTCTCTGGTGTGATGTGATCACATTGGCTGGTGGTAAAAATGCAATAAAGGGGAATCGTCTGTTCTCCTCGCGCCCAATGTTTATGTTTACAATTAAATGTATTATGTCAGAATGGGAAAGGGGATACCTAGTCAGTTGCACAATGAATGCATTAAATCGAAACGTGTCTTCTGCATTTAACCCAACCCCTCTGAATCAGAGAGGTGCAGGAATGCCCAATGTAAGAATGTTTCCAATCAAATGCATGAATTTAAGTTTGAACGTTTTCCTATCAGTCTAACTTGCATAAACTCTGTGATTTGATGATAGCTGTGAGGGTTATGGAATCAGGATCAAATCCTCTGACCACCTCAAGCTCATTAATGATGGAATGTTCATATTTCAAGATTGCCGAAAGGCCAGTCTCTTTGGCAAATAACAGAAGTGGCAAGGTGTGTAATGTAATAGCTGAACAGAGCTGGCAACCAGGCTATTACCAGCATGCCCGAACACCCAAAATGTATGGCTACAATATCATTACACCCTACCTACATACAGTACCTTCAGAAAGTATTCATACCCCTTGACTTATTCCACATTTTGTTGTGTTACAGCCTGAATTCAAAATGGATTAAATTATTCATTTTTTCTCACCCATCTACACACAATACCCCATAATGACAAAGTGAAAACATGTTTTTAGAATTTTATTTTATTCAAAATGTATTCAGAATTTATTCAAAATGAAATGCAGAAATATCTAATTTACACATCTGTCTTCACTGTTCCCTTGCACAATTCATGCATCTCCACTGGCATCGCCACTGGCCTCTCTCGTCCATCCTCTCTCTATAGTAGCCCATCTCAATGCGTGTCCCAGTAGTAGCTATATAGTTTGGTCACTTATTCTGAGCAATTAAAAAAATATATATATATTTGAGGAAAAAAAGCACACAAAAAAATGGCTACATCTTTCACACTGAACTAGCTGGGAAGTTTGAATGGCGAGAGCTTCTCTGGTGTGATGTGATCACATTGGCTGGTGGTAAAAATGCAATAAAGAGGAATCCTCTGTTCTCCTCGCGCCCAAAGTTTATTAAAAATGTATTCTAAATGAAATGCAGAAATATTCACACATTTAGAAGCACCTTTGGCAGTGATTACACCTCTGAGTCTTTCTGGGTAAGTCTCTAAGAGCATTCCACACCTGGATTGTGTAACATTTGCCCATTATTCTTTTCAAAATTCTTCACGCTCCGTCACATTTATTTAGGCTTGCAATAACAAAGGGGTTAAATACTTATTGACTCAAGACATTTCAGCTTTTCTTTTTTAATTAATATGTAAAATTCCAAAAAACATAATTCCACTTTGACATTATGGGGTATTGTGTATAGGCCAGTGACAAAAAAAATCTCAATTTTATCCATTTTAAATTCAGGCTGTAACACAACAAAATGTGAAAAAAGTAAAGGGGTGTGAGTACTTTCTGAAGGCACTGCATGTGTAAATACATAGGTTTTAGGGACACTTTGGGGTATCTCTGCCTAGTGATTGGCCTACTGTATGAGGGGGCACACCTTGACATGACTGTGGACCCTGTAGTGGAAACTCTCATTCCACTCTGGGGTCTTGCTGTTGGGCATGGTCTTAGTACGGTGAGACCTGGCAGACGCTGTGGGGAGGCGTACAATAACATAACAGTCCGACTCAGACCCTGTAAAACAAAACAGGACTGTTACAAAGACCTACCCACTATTGGCAAAACTATTTGTGTGTAGAAACAGATCAGAGACATTAAATAAAAAGCTTAAAGTGGTAGTTCAGTTTTTTTTTTTTCACAAAAAAAAAGTGTCTGCTCTGATAATGAATTTAGAAATCTATGAAAAGTATGCACAAGGCGAAGACAATATGACTCACAATAATCATGAGATTGGTTGTTTTTTGCTCGGAGTATGGTAACAGTCAGGTTCTGGTAGGTCTTAACCTTTCTCTAACAAGGGAGGCAAAAATATACAGACATGGTTACAGAAATACAAACACATACACCCTACATATTCTGGAAAGAAGTGCTGAAGGGTGTAGTGAGGAACAATATTTTTTATATAGTAGATACATTAAGCACCTGCAACGCCTGAAATACACCCCTCCCTGAACCATAGGTCCTCACAATGAATAAATTAACTTCCTATGTCTAGTAGTTTTCCTTTCTTTGATGTACATGAAAGTGGTGTTACATTTCTAATGGATACATTTCAAACAACATGAGAGCACCTGGACGAGATAAACAATGTTTTGTGCATGATCTATAGCATACACTGTTCTCACAAGACCTGTTGCATAAATATCCTAGCTACATGTTTAAAATAAAGAGAAGTACCTTCAACATGGTTAGTCAATGTTCCTCCCCGTCCCCGCCATTGGACTCTGCAGCAGTGGAAACTCGTTCTCTGGAGTGATGAATCATGCTTCACCATCTGGCAGTCCGACAGACGAATCTGGGTTTGGCAAATGTCAGGAGATGCTAGTGCCAACTGTAATGTTTGGTGGAGGAGGAATAATGGTCCGTGGCTGTTTTTCATGGTTCGGGCTAGGCCCCTTAGTTAAAGTGAATGGAAATCTTAACGCTACACCATACAATGACATTCTAGATAATTCTGTGCTTCCAACTTTGTGGCAACAGTTTGGGGAAGGCCCTTTCCTGTTTCAGCATGACAATGCCCCCATGCACAAATCAAGGTCCATGCAGAAATTATTTGTCGAGATCGGTGTGGAAGAACTTGACTGGCCTGCACAGAACCCTGACCTCAACCCAATCGAACACCTTTGGAATGAATTGGAACGCACACTGCGAACCAGGCGTAATCGCCCAACCTCACTAATGCTCTTGTGGCTGAATGGAAGCAAGTCCCCGCAGCAATGTTCCAACATCTAGTGGAAAGCCTTCCCAGAAGACTGGAGGCTGTTATAGCAGCAAAGGGGGGACCAACTCCATATTAATGCCCATGATTTTGGATTGAGGTTTTCGACGAGCAGGTGTCCAAATACTTTTGGTCATATAGTGTGTTTCTATATTTCTTAATTCAATTATTTTACTTTTAGATTTGTGTGTATTGTTGTGTATTGTTAGATATTACTGCACTGTTGGAGCTAGGAACACAAGCATAACATAACATCTGCTAAACATGTGTATGCGACCAATACAATTTTGTTTGATTTTTTACATTTGTATACGATCACGTTTCTCTCTATTATGCGTGGGAATCCTTTGGAACAGATTTCCCTAATTAAAATCACTTGGAGCTGATTTCCTGGTGTTTTTAGTCTTTTATGTCCAACAATAATTTATATTGTATTTTTTAGTTGTGTTTTTTGTATGCTTTTTAGTTGTACGGTGTGTGTATATATAGTTGTATTTGACATTTCTATGACTGTCCTTGTCTATCAGTGTAAAAATACTGCAAAGTTGGCTAGGAGTTAGAAACAGGGCGACCGTGTCTGTCGCCACCATCTTGTCAGATTTCTGGCCATTTTTGTGGTGGAAAACGAGTCGAGCATAACACGACAACCATGTTATTCAATTCCTCAACCAACCAACAGTTTATTTACATTTCATTACCAGTTTGATTCAAGGGTTTTCATGATCCAGTTTGATTCAATTGTTGTGATAATTGTCTCTCCCAGGTGGAGGGTAGTATCCTGTATATGTCCTATATCTAAGTTTATCTAACTCTAAATCTATCTTTTTGTAATAACTTGCAGAAAAATTCAGGAGCTCATCTGCTCAGGACCTCTCTCTCTCTAACTAACGCTCTCTCAATTCAATTGAAAGGGGCTTCATTGGCATGGGAAATGTGTTTATATTGCCAAACCAAGTGAAAAAACAGTGAAAAAGTGAAAAAAATAACAATGACAAAAACCATAGATAACAATTTCAAGTATTTTGGTGAAGCTAGCATTGCCCCTCCCTGTTGCACACAACAAGCTTCCCCTGTCACGAGGGGATTTATGGCTGATTTAAGATGAAATCGTCAACTCTGTTACGTTCAACCCTGTTACTTTATTTTGCACATAGTAGGCACTTACTATAGTAAGCTTTTATTTAACCTCTTGAGATGGGAAAACATGTTTATGAAGTTGAACATAGTCAGCTCCAAAATTATTGGCACCCTTGATAAAGATGAAAAAATACTTGTATAAAACAAAAACATCGGAAAATTTATATTATTTTCTACTAATACAATTTCTCAAAGAAATTGATTTGGTTTAACAAGTAATCATTTTTTTCTCAAAAAGATAGGGGTCAAATTTATTTGCACCCGTTTTCAATACCTCACCTTGCGAGGAACACATTGTGAATTTCCTTGTGGATTTTGATGTGTGCTTGGGGTTATTGTCTTACTGGAAGATCCACTTGTGGCCAAGTTTCAGCCTCCTGGCAGAGGTAACCACACCTGTCAGGTGGATGGATTATCTTGGCAAAGGAGAAATGCTCACTAACAGAGATGTAAACAAATTTGGGCACAACATTTGAGCGAAATACGTTTTTCTTTGTGTGTTTGTGTATGGAACATTTCTGGGATCTTTTTCTTCAACTCATGAAACTTGGGACAAACACTTTACATGTTGTGTTTATATTTTTGTTCAGTGTATTTTCATAATGAGTGAGACGTAAGTTAATACAGCAATCCAAACCAGTCAGGTTTCAAGACTGGTCATTCAACTGAGACTGCTCTTCTCTGTGTCACGGAGGCTCTCCGCACTGCTAAAGCTAACTCTCTCTCCTCTGCTCTTGTCCTTCTAGACCTGTCTGCTGCCTTTGATACTGTGAACCATCAGATCCTCCTCTCCGAGCTGGGCATCTCCGGCGCGGCTCACTCCTGGATTGCGTCCTACCTGACCGGTCGCTCCTACCAAGTGGCGTGGCGAGAAGCTGTCTCCGCACCACGTGCTCTTACCACTGGTGTCCCCCAGGGCTCAGTTCTAGGCCCTCTCCTTTTCTCCCTATACACCAAGTCACTTGGCTCTGTCATATCCTCACATGGCCTCTCCTATCATTGCTACGCTGACGATACACAACTAATCTTCTCCTTTCCCCCTTCTGATAACCAGGTGGCGAATCGCATCTCTGCATGTCTGGCCGACATATCAGTATGGATGACGGATCACCACCTCAAGCTGAACCCTGGCAAGACGGAGCTGCTCTTCCTCCCGGGGAAGGACTGCCCGTTCCATGATCTCGCCATCACGGTTGACAACTCCGTTGTGTCCTCCTCCCAGAGTGCGAAGAGCCTTGGCGTGACCCTGGACAACACCCTGTCGTTCTCCGCTAACATCAAGGCGGTGACCCGATCCTGCAGGTTCATGCTCTACAACATTCGGAGAGTACGACCCTGCCTTACACAGGAAGCAGCACAGGTCCTAATCCAGGCACTTGTCATCTCCCGTCTGGATTACTGCAACTCGCTGTTGGCTGGGCTCCCTGCCTGTGCCATTAAACCCCTACAACTCATCCAGAATGCCGCAGCCCGTCTGGTGTTCAACCTTCCAAGTTCTCTCACGTCACCCCCCTCCTCCGCACACTCCACTGGCTTCCAGTTGAAGCTCGCATCCGTTACAAGACCATGGCGCTTGCCTATGGAGCAGTGAGGGGAACGGCACCTCCGTACCTTCAGGCTCTGATCAGTCCCTACACCCAAACGAGGGCATTGCGTTCATCCACCTCTGGCCTGCTGGCTCCCCTTCCTCTGCGGAAGCATAGTTCCCGCTCAGCCCAGTCAAAACTGTTCGCTGCTCTGGCACCCCAATGGTGGAACAAGCTCCCTCACGACGCCAGGATAGCGGAGTCACTCACCACCTTCCGGAGACATTTGAAACCCCACCTCTTTAAGGAATACCTGGGATAGGATAAAGTAATCCTTCTACCCCCCCCCCCCCCCCCCCCCCCCCCAAAAAAAAAAGATTTCTTGTAAAGTGGTTAACCCACTGGCTATAGGGTGAATGCACCAATTTGTAAGTCGCTCTGGATAAGAGCGTCTGCTAAATGACGTAAATGTAAATGTAAATGTTGTTACGCAGGACTTTGGAAATTGCCGTATGAAGTTATTACATAAGTGGAATAAGGAACAGTTACTATTCCTCTTGGATACAGTAGTTACAAAAACTCTCAGCTCATTGCTATGCAATTAAAATGCAATTACCACAGTATTATGTAACAACATGTTAATAAAATGTTGCTCCAAAAATAATTATTGAATCAACTACAGCCAAGGCAGGTGGAAAACATGTTAGTTTTGTATTCTGAATAAACTATCCCTTTAAAGATGGTATAGTGTGTTTGAAACAAGAACACTTAGATGGACAAAGAGGTTCAAAGTTGTTTTTGCTAAGCATCCAACTTACTGTTTGCAATGTTTGCAAATGAAACATCACTCATGGATTTGAATTAGTCTGCAGTATTTTCAGTTATCATAAAATGAATTGAACCTTTAACCTTTTCAGTGGCATGTTGAAAGAGTCATACAGTAGTTGAGCGTCACAACTTATTTACAGTGAGGGAAAAAAGTATTTGATCCCCTGCTGATTTTGTACGTTTGCCCACTGACAAAGAAATGATCAGTCTATAATTTTAATGGTAGGTTTATTTGAACAGTGAGAGACAGAATAACAACAACAAAATCCAGAAAAACGCATGTCAAAAATGTTATAAATTTATTTGCATTTTAATGAGGGAAATAAGTATTTGACCCCCTCTCAATCAGAAAGATTTCTGGCTCCCAGGTGTCTTTTATACAGGTAACGAGCTGAGATTAGGAGCACACTCTTAAAGGGAGTGCTCCTAATCTCAGCTTGTTACCTGTATAAAAGACACCTGTCCACAGAAGCAATCAATCAAATAGATTCCAAACTCTCCACCATGGCCAAGACCAAAGAGCTCTCCAAGGATGTCAGGGACAAGATTGTAGACCTATACAAGGCTGGAATGGGCTACAA